GTCTCCCCATATCCAGGAACCAACTGGTGACGGCTAATGGGTAGAGCCGCGGCACAAGGCCTCCCCGAATCCTGATATCAGCCGTAGTGACTTGCAGGTAACGACCAACGGGTAAAGGCCGCCGGGGGAATTTGTAATCAGGTCAATTCCCGCCGCAGATCAACTGCGGCCCCCCCCAGCCGGGTTATCATTGAAACACGGCTATGCAGGATGAGAGCTGCTAGTAACTGCTAGTATGCCTTTTAATGTAACTACTCTCATGGTACCAATCCGACGGCAAGGGTTCATACAAGTACAAACAACCATTTGTCGAAACTAGTGTCATAGCATTTACCATCACCGAATCAAACTTAGGACCATGATGAACAGTCACAATATCACTTCTAGATGGTGTTTAACTCTCTAAGTACTTAGACGTCAACTTGCATTCTCAACAATGACACCCTAAACCCCAGACGGATCCTGTGAACCCTACAGCATCTCGGCCTCCAGGGATGCAGAGACTTCCTCGCAGCTACTGGGCCCGCTCTGATGACTTGCAGCGTCCTTGGAAAGGCTGGGCTCAGGCTCGCCGGGAATTTCTTCACAGAGTTAAGGGGTTTAAGGCTTCAAGGTTTAGGGTTTTTTGGGGGTTCGGGGGCTTGGGGGCACCAACACGGTTTCAAAACCACACCCCTCATGGCCGAAGCAGTTTGCCAGGGCAACTGTGTTCCGACATGGGGAGGAAGTGCGATTTAGGACGAAGCAACAAACCTGGTTTATGCTCCTGAAACCCCATATCCCCAACCCCACCCAGTGGCAGGTTCTCCCCTTCTTCTGAGCAGATGACAGGGTCGTCGTTGGACTTGTCGCTGGGCCGCAGTTGCCACACCTTGGCTTCTTTTGGATTGAGGGGATAGCATGTAGGAAATGAAGGGGGCTTCTATCAGTCAAACGAGACTCCATGATAGGAGTCTGAGGTGTGGTTTGGAGCTCAGGGCTGCTGACTTCAGTATCAAAGATTGCATGCGTTCTGGCCGAGACTGCTTGATTTCTCGAATTGCAGGTTGCAGGGGCCATGGTCAAGAAACCCTAAACCCTAAACCCTAAACCCGAAGCACGCTGAGACGGCTTGAAGACACGTTATCCTTTGATCAGTCTTCTACCACATATGGTATATGCAGCAGCAACCTGATCAAATGTTGGACTTCTGGTCCTCAGCAAGCAACTGGGTTTCAAGCCATTTTCGCCTTCCTCGGGGTGAGGACCTCGCGCCCACCACCTCAGCAAGATTTGACTGTGGGCTTTGAGCTTAAGTAATCCAAAATCCACACAACAAAATATGTGTCCGGTTGTAAACTTGCGCTTTGCGGGCTCTGTACCATGCTTGTACATTGGGTATCGCTTGTTCTGCTCACGCCCTCCGGATGAGAGGACAAGGCAGACAAACATCATTCTAGCACGTCCGCAGATTTCATGATGAGACAACACGTCTGATGAAAATTAATTATGGCGTTCACAAGTTGGCCTATACATGGCGTAGAACGATGCTCAAACCTCCAAATGTTCACTGACAAGTTGGGGCATGGGCACTAAAACATTCCCAAATTCAAAGCGCAGGAACATATGACACAGCGTGTTAAGTTTTGCCTGAATATGCGGTGCTGTCTTGGGATCCTACTTTCGCCCGCCTGAACGCCACAAGGTCTAACAATCAGTAAACTCAGAGCCCTAAGCACCCAACCCCAAACCCAATTCTTGAAACCAATAATTTGAGACCGGGTCTGAGGTTTTGACGCGTCATCAGCTTAGAGCTGAGGAGCTTTGGGATGCTTTGCCTGGGGCTAAAGTTCAAGGCCCACGATAGGCTTTTGGGTCGGGGTCTGGGTTGGCGGTAAGGATGTTGCCAGGGATCTCTCTAGATTGCTAAGTAAGAAAGTGGGTTGAGCGCTAGAAGGTTGCCCTCAGGAATCACGCCTTGTGATTGTGGACAACAGCCATCCATTCATATGACTCATGCATCAACGAGTTTCTGCGGATCCTGGTATGCTTATGGCACCTCATGAAGGCTTCAGAATTGATGCATAGGTTCATGCCACAAAGCTTGAACTAGAGCAATGGAATCAGGCTTCAAAATATAAGGTGCCCGATGAAAAGTGACAGACATGGGCAGATTTGCAGACCAGCAGGGTAGCCCTGCTGGGATTACGAGCAAAATGTTCACGTTATGCGCTGGAGATCTTGTGTACAAGCTTCAGAGCATGATCTGTAGAACGTTCAGATCTCAACCCCAAACCCTTTTAGGGACAAAATCCTACACGCACTCCAAGCCTTCAACTCCAAATCCCCAAGCACTGAGCCACCCCACTCCCTGCGCGGCTTCGAGGAGCGACTACGAGCGCCTTGGATGCGACCAGATCTTGAACTGTTCCATTCGGGCTGCAGTGTGTGGGTAAGCTATTTAGTTTCATGAGTTTAAGAATCACATGGGCTCAGGGCTCTGCTCTTGTGGCTTTAGGCTTTGGCATCTATGTAGGGTAGGGTGTTTATAGGCAATGGCAACACCATATAGGAATCCGTGGTGTAGCTTTGCGCAGGATCACATACCCAAGAAGCTGGTTCTGGCTCACGCTTTGTGAAACGTACCACTTCAAGCTACCAAACATATGAACAACAGATTAAGTAGAACAAACAGGTCATGTCACCGATTCAGAAGCCTCAACCTTGCTGTCAAACCCTATATCTAGACACAAAAACCTAAGCCTTATGAGCCAGCCTTCCAACTCCCTCAACTTGTAAGTGAACTCAAAGGAGCTTCCCCAAGACTTCGTATAATCCCCGTAGCCGTAACCCCTAAACAACAAGCTCATCATAATGATTCGACTAGACCTGGAGATCGGCTTCCTCACACCTGCGGTCCCTAAGATAGCCTACAAGCCTGACTTATTCGCCCACAATGACCTGATCGTTCCAAACGAAGTCTTCAAAGGTTCTAGTATTATTGATCTGTTGTCAACCTATAACAACTACCACGAACATGTTGAACTATTCAGGGTCCTCCTTGTAGAAGACCCCAAACCTCTCCCCCACAACCTCCGGACCTCTAGAACAAAGCCACAGATATGTGAAAGGCTCACAGAAATATGTAACCCCAAGCCGCAATCCTTAGAAACTTGGTCTCGAAGTCTCCAAGGCCGTGACCTGTTGCCCCCCGGTTGAGGTCATCGTGCAGGCCCTCTAGGATGAAATCGAGGAATTCCTCAGGGGCTTGCTGGGCACAAACTAAACCAGCGTCACTACACTTGGCGCGGCTTTTGCTGCTGCAAACTGCATGAGGATGAAAAAGCGAAAGGTTCCGAACCGTTCTGGTTTCTGCCATAAGCTGGGCTGCCGCCAAAGCACAGCAAAGATGGCAGCCCCTACCCAGCTCGCAAAACCTAAACGCGCAACTCTACACCCGATTACCTGAAAACTCTGACCCCTAAACCCTAAATCCGAAATGTACAATGAAACGCTCGCATCCACAACCCCAAACCCCGAGCACCTACCTAAAATCCAATTCCGAAGTCCCCGCACCACCAGCGCCTGCGCGTCATGCTGCTCGTAGCCTGCAAACTGCGGAGCGAACCTTGAATGTGCCACTGGGCGTGGGAAAAAAAACATTTAGGGTGGAAGCTAGAGGGCTTCGTTAGGTCAAGTGCTGCAGTGCACGACCAAGCTTCCTCCTAACTCTCCAACTAAGATACTGTCAATTGCATTCCTGCATCGACTTGTCACAAGATGAACGAATGAAGACTTGGTGGAAGATTGAGCGGGAAAGCGGCACATCTGCACAGTCTTCGGCAGTGCATTGAGCTTCCCCTATGCAGGCAAGATTTAAGTTCGTGGACCTGAGTGTAGAACTGGGAAACGCCCAAAACCCAGCAGAGTAAGCCTCAAGTCCTGACAGCACCAACTGGACATGGAGTTTCTCAAACGTTGGGGCATTAGCAACATGAAGATCGTTAATGGTATCGCCCCACCAAAAAGTGCAATATTGCGAACGCATGAGTTGCTCCTGACATGCAAAGCCAAATTGCCCTGGAAGTTGGCAGCCCCTGCAAACGCAAATCCCTTCAAGCTGACCCCAAAAGCGACCCTTCGATTTTTGGAACTGCGCCAGGACAGTTCAACACAGACTCCCATCAATCGCTTCAGTAAGGTGCATGGAGCGTTAAGATCAGATTTGAGAATGGGAGGTGCTCAACAGTGTTTCCTGCAACGGGGTTACATGATGCCACTACGGAGTCAACCCTGCGCCAACCCTTCATGTAACAGCTGCTGTTCCCTCTTCTCTGGCACGCCGGTCCATTTACTTCACCTACGCTAGGTTCCGGCATCCAGAAATGCTGACAGGACGAGGGGCTGATCGATTGTCCGCTTGAGATCTCGTGGGCTCACGTGCCCGCCTTAGAAGGATGCACCGACGTTACCAGCCTTTCTGGATCTTTGGCAAGCTTCGAATTATGCCTAGCATTTGCCCTCTGTCCCCGAAACAACCACTTCCTAGAAAAGGACCCCCCCAACTACGAAAAGTGTAGGACTATTTCATCCATGCCATGAGCTGAAAGCTCTAAGCTCTACCACACGCTTACACAAGCTTCAACCTAACCCAAAATTCTAAATTTTCAAGCCAAAGCTCAGCTGTAAGCCCTATGCAACCTGACTGAATTCTGAACCCTAAACTCTGAAACTGGAAGCCAAAACCTTGAACCCCTAAGCTCCAACACTCAAGCCTGTCACTCCACTGCGACCTTCAGAAACGAGGCAAGCAGCACGACAAGAGTAATTGACTTCTGGTTCCTTTTGCACTTGAGGGGAATGTGACTGCTTCCAACTCTTTCCCGTAATGATGCTCTACTGAGCCCTCTGCTGGCACCGCCCCAGAGCTCCTGAAGAACGTTGCCAAACTCCAACGCCAGCTTTCCCTGACAGTCAAGCTCAGAGTATACAAGGCTTAATCATTTGTTTCGGGTCTGGGATTTGCAGGCTTCAGGAATGTGAAGGACTTGGGATCTGGGCAAATGAGGGTGCAGGGGCTGTCTTCCCCTCACGTATGGCGCGGGGGGGCCCCGGAAACCCAATGTTCACCCCATGAAGACGCCTCAGCGTTTTGACAGTCCAGACAGACAATTCACGAGACATTTTGGAGCCTGAAAGCTTCGAATTTGGATCGCCTTCCAGGAAACTCCAAACTCACTCCATGAAGGGATGCCGCTCGCACCAAATTCTGCTGTGAAGTCAGCTGCTTCGTTCAAGGGGCTTTTGAGTCCGGCTTTTCAGGGGTGCATCTCTCTCCAAAACGGAAACTTCCCGTTCACAATGCTCAAAGACTCAAAGGTGCATGCAACTTGAGGCCTGTAAGCAAAGTCCAACGGCAGCACCTTTACGGTACAGTACAACCCTCCAATCAAACAAATGATCTGAACAGATCTCACGAAAAGAACTTCAATCTGGATTCAAGGGGGTGTACACCCTCCGCTGCAGCTTGTCTAGGGCATCTTTACAAGATATCGTAGGGCATGTGGGGCGTGAATATGTCTACAAACTCCAGAGCTTTCAAGCTCCTACCTCTCAATGAAAACCAATCTCACATGCCTTGGCATGGGAAGTCTTCCTCTCTGCAGCGTCTCCGACGTGCTTTGAAGAGAGGAAATATTCCCGCCTTTTTGGAATATCGAGCTTTGACATTTTGGAGTCGGGAGATTTCGTGGGGTTTAGGCTTGAGAGTTTCAATGGCGCACTTCGGGCTTAAATTGGATTTTTGGGCTGGAGATGTCATTCGTAGACCAGGCAGTCTTCACAGTGGGATTGACTTTGGCTGACACCAATATTGTGAATCCAGGCGGGGATGTAGGAAATGGATGGTAAACACATTCAAAACAACGTCCCCTTATCCTGCAGTTTTACTTTTGCGGTGATCGCACAAGTTCATAGGATGCAGCATGCGTTTCTCCGCCTTTCTTATGGCTGCTCGCATGGATGTTGTGCTGCCTCTGCTGCTGTTGATGTGCTTTGTTAGCAGGAGGATTGGCAGTGTTGGGCTTGAATCAAAAAAACTGCTATGGGCCTATATTCTAACGGAAGAACAGCGGCTTGATACCTCGAATCATAGATCTGCTCAAAACATGTTTCAAGTGAGGTGCCCCAAACTAGAGCCCTTGGCGACATGTAACCCATTCTCATACTTCTCTTCTGAGCCTGACTACATCGCACGCCATAATCAGGGAATATTTCAGGACTGTAACAAACATGTGTCAATCATGAATCATACACTTATTGGTCAAGTCACGTCGCATGTGCCATCTGCAAGCAAGCGGCACGAGGGGCGTGTTCACCATGCACTGAATGGTGGCCTTGGCGACAACTTAGGGTCCTTCCTCAACAGATATCGACAGGCATGATTCGTACCTGTGGGGTGCCTGTCCATGAGGAGAAGTACATGATACAACTGTACAGGAAACCTTCACAACATGTGTCTGAAGGGACCGCGGTGAGCTTTTCCTTGTTTGCTCAGGCACGGCTTGCACTGCCTTTCAGGAAGTACATGAAACTGAAATGAGGCCCAGTGTTTCGACTCCATGCGGACTGCTACGTCGCCTAGGGAGAGCAGGTTCATTGAACTTGAACCACCCGTAGGAGCAGCTGCCCCAAACTATGCAGGCGTGGCGCCCTAAGTCGACCGTCCAAAGCGTCGTGTCAACAGGAAAGCGATGCATGGAACAATTTTCCAGTAGCGAAAATGAAGAAGACCGGCATGGAGGAAGCAGATCACACCTCACAGGTAATTCTCATGGCCGACATCGGACAGCTTCTACCCTCTGAGCCCCCCTTCAGCCCCAATCAGATCCAAACACAAAGGCTGAAGAAGGGCGAACCAAAATGGAAGAGGACTCCCGGGCAACTCATTATTGGGATCACCACGCTTGACAAGGGATGTAAGAATAGGCTTCTGAGGCGTACCCGCGTGGAGGCTGCTGGCCCTGAAGGTTGAAGGAAATATGGATTCGAACACTCGGAACCTGACAACTTGCTGCAAGCGGTCTTGACAGCATGACATAGGTTGTGTAAAGCCCCGTTCCTTTTTCTTGATCCGAGATTGGCATGGCTTTATTTTACTCTTGTCACTTTTCCCATTTTGGGGCGCTCTTGTTTGTGTTATCGCTGTTGTTTCATCTGACAATTGTTCAATTAAAACCAACATTTTGCACGCTGCGGCGCGCTAGGACATGTTCCACTGGCGCGGGGATACTATAGAACCCCACATTAGTTGAGGGTCGTGTTTGGCTTGTGCGCAGCGCTATACCCTTGACACTGCCATGGCCCAAAAAAGCTATGACTCCGAAACCAGCCCGTGACTGGTGGACATCTGGGGCAGCGGGCGTTCATGAAGCAGGTGTTGCCAAGGTTCTGCAGACCTGTCAAAGACCAGGCTGAAGCTCTTGCTGCGGCTCCATGGCAATCACCACCTGTTTGCCCCAAACATCTCAAACCAAAAGAACAATTACCAAGGCAAACCTTCCAAAATGAAAGCCCAAATAAGGGCGACCTCCATCAAATCATGCCATCTTCAACTAATCGCAACAGCACTGGAAAGAAGGTCAGTGCATCTTCAGCACAGGGCTTCTGCCGTGTCACTCACCTCCACCAACATGGAAGCCTTTGCCTTGCAATCATAAGCCTTGGCCTACGTGAAATGGTGCCATCTTGAAAATCCGGCCGACTTCAACTCCAGAAGTCCTGATCATACAAATACTCTTACTTGAGCATCGTCACATTGCCTGCACGGTTCTCCTTTTGGCACTGCTGCTCTTGGGAAGCAGCCATCTTGCAACCCAAGTTCCTCCAAAAATGGAAGGGCGAACCAAAGATGATGCCAGCAGGCAACCTATGCCAGGGCTGCGGTTCAATGAAAACCCCCTCCCGCCGCAACCTTCTCTCCCCAGCCAAAGACCCCAGTACGGGCGACGATTACACGAAGACGGAAACAATTCTTCAGGGAGCGGAGTACTAAATCCTAAGCCCCCAATAGCTAATCTGGAGACAAACACCAAACTCATATCCCCAACGCCCACACAAGCTAAAGCTAAGGTTCTGGCCGCATGCGCCAGGCACTCCAGCCAACCTCATACAAGGAACATGTGCAGGGTGGCATCAAAAGCTGGAGCTCCTCCACAACCCCTTTCCAGCAAGCCCTGTCCAAAGGCCCATCTGCTCTGTAGCAAACGAAACGTTATGGAAAATGTCTGGTCCCTCAGACACCCTGGCAAATCTCGTCCAAACAAGGCATCACCCCCCAGCACAATAACTAATTCACAATGCTCGCCCAGCAGACGCCCTTGGATCCTACTTTCTGCTCCTCAGGAACAGAGCACCCAAAGGGCTTCCACCACCTAGCCACCTCCACACCAATTACACCCCCAAACTCCAACATCTGGAGTATTCCAAAAATCTGAGAACGCAGCGGAGAGCCGCCAGAGGTTCGCTCCTCTGCGGCCTTGCCCTCGGATCATCTGCGCTGCTTGCAGTTTAGGTGTTTTGGAATGCTTGGGTTAAGGAGAGCTGTTGTGCAAAGGGGCTTGTTGTGCCAACTCGGACCCGGCAACCTAATCACGCAACTATAC